ACCTTGGGAGGAAGTGATCATGCAATATTGGAATTCAACATTATGGAAGCACAAGCAATAGAACACAGTCAAACTAGAGTCTTGGACTTCAAGAGAGCTAATTTCAATAAACTTAGAGAGGGTTTAGAAAGGATTCCATGGATGAGAATCCTCCAGGGGAAAACAATTCAAGAAGCTTGGGAATTTTTGAAAAGTGAGATAATAAAAGCCCAGTCTAGCACAATACCAACAAAGAGGAAAAATAACAGCTCTCAAAAGAAACCAGCATGGCTGCATAAAGAACTCTCTGATAAATTGAAAGATAAAAAGGACAAATATAGAAAGTGGAAAGAAGGACACATAACTAAGTCAGACTATCAGCGAATAGCTCGAGCCTGCAAAGATGAAGTGAGGAAAGCTAAGGCTCAAAATGAACTAAGGCTTGCGACCAAAGTAAAAAATAACAAAAAAAAGCTTCTTTCAACATGTAAAAAACAAGAAAAAAAGTGAAGGAAATGATTGGTCCATTAGTGGGTGAAAGTGGCAAGAAGGTGATAAGCAAGAGGGAGAAAGCAGAACTATTTAACTCGTTTTTCGCATCTGTCTTTACACAAAGGGAAAAAACAGACCAACCTATCAAAAATAGTGCCATAAAAAACAGAATAGAAACACAAGTTAAGATAGGCAAGAAAATGGTAAGTGAGCACCTGCCCAGCCTAGATGAGTTCAAATCACCAGGACCAGATGGATTACACCCCAAGGTTCTCAAGGAACTGGCAGATGTGATCTCAGGACCACTGAACTATATTTTTCAAAGATCCTGGAGCACTGGGGAACTACCAAAGGACTAGAAAAGAGCTGATGTAGTTCCCATCTTCAAAAAAGGAAAAAAAATGGATCCAGGAAATTACAGACCTATCAGCCTGACCTCAATACCTGGGAAGATTCTGGAAAAGATAATCATACAACGAATCAGTGAACACCTACAGGCAAACAAAGTCATTACTAAAAGCCAACACAGGTTTGTCAAAAACAGATCATGCCAGACAAATCTTATTGCATTCTTTGACCAAGTGACAAAATTAGTGGACCAGAGGAATGTTGTGGATATAATTTACTTGGACTTCAGTAAGGCATTTGACAAAGTAGATCACAACCTACTACTTGATAAGATAGAAAAATGCGGGTTAGACAGCATCACCACCAAATGGATCCGTAGCTGGCTGACCGGCCGTACTCAGCGTGTGGTCCTCAATGGAACCGCATCTACATGGAGGGAAGTGTGTAGTAGGATGCCCCAGGGCTCTGTTCTGGACCCAGTGCTCTTCAACATCTTCATCAACGATTTGGACGAGGGGATAGATGAGGAACTCATCAAATTTGCAGACGACACCAATCTGGCAGGAATAGCCAACATTCCAGAAGACAGACTTGAACACTGGGCGCTATCTAACAAAATGAAATTCAATAGTGAAAAAAGTAAGGTTCTATATTTAGGCAAGAAAAACCAAATGTACAGGTATAGTATAGGGGGTACCTTGCTCAATAGTAGTAACTGTGAGAGGGATCTCGGAGTCCTAGTGGACAATCACCTAAATATGAGCCAGCAGTGTGCTGCAGCTGCCAAAAAAGCCAACACAGTGCTAGGCTGCATTAACAGAGGGATAGAATCAAGATCACGTGAAGTATTAATACCACTTTACAATGCCTTGGTAAGGCCACACTTGGAATACTGCATCCAGTTTTGGTCACCACAATGTAAAAAAGATATTGAGACTCTAGAAAGAGTACAGAGAAGAGCAACAAAGATGATTAGGGGACTGGAGGCTAAAACATATAA